ATAAAATATAAATTTATAAAAATTTATATATTTTTAAATTTAAAACTAAAATATAATTAATCATATCTCTATATTTAGAATGTAAAAAATAAACAAGAAAATATGTTAATATATCAAATTGTTTCCAATACTTATTATAAATTTTAATGCATTATTTTTTAAAATTATAATCTGTTATATTAGAAATTTTTATAATTACAATTACCATTTTAACTAATTCTAAAAAACATAATGCCATATTGCTTGACTTATTTTTAACTGCTTGAATTGCTCTTTTAGGAGGTATAAGTATTGTTTCTAATTATTCTAATTCTTGTCAAAATTGATGATTTCGAAGAATATTTTTAATGTTTAAAACATCTTGAAAAATTTCAGACTGAGTTTCAAGAACCTAACCAAAATATATAAAATTATTAAAACTTTAAAAAATCAATAAAAAAAATAAAATTTAATTTATATTTTTAAGACTATTTTCTAATCTAATAATTGAGTTACAACAATTCCAAGCAGTAGACCATCTTGTTTTTACTAAAGTTTTTAATCCTCCATCTTTTATAAAAGAATTAACAATATCTTCTTGAAGAGCAGCACCAGCATGATAAGAATTTTTAAAAAATGATATTAATATTTGACATTTTTTAAAAACACCTTTAGCAAAATCTAATTTAATAATATGTGATGTAATAAGATTAATATGATGAGCTATACATCTAATAGATAATATAGAAGGATATTTAGTAAAAATAATTTGTTTTGCTGATTACATAGCTGATTCTGTATCTGAAACAACAGCTACAAATTTTTTAAAACTAATTAAATTTAAAACTTTTTTAATTTCAGAAGCATTAAAAGAAGCTGTATAAGATTTGCTTGATTCATCAACTAAAGCATGAATATATTGTTTTCTACTAGATGTAATAATTACAAAAACATAAATAGATTTTTCTGAAGGACTACACCATCCATCTATAGCTAATAAATTATAAATTATATTAATTTAGTTCAAATTATAAATAATAAATTTAAATATATTATTACCTAGTATTAAATTATTTTCATATTCAAGTTCCTTATTAATTTTAATTAAAACAGAAGCAATTTCTTGATTTAAAATAGTTGATGAAAGTATTTTTCTTTTAGGAAGAATATAATCAAGACAAAAATATTAAATAAAATCTATAAAATATAGATGATTAACAGTAAAAAATGAAATATTACAATATATAAAAAATTTAATTAATACTTGATCAATTCTATTTTTTTTATTTTTTTCAATTTTTGTTAATAATTTATAAAAATTTGTTATTAATTTTTTAAAACTACTTGCATCATTTTTAAATTTTTTATTAAAATTATCAGTAACTAATAATTCTAAATATTCTAATTTAACATCCTATAATATATTATTACAATATAATGCTAAATGAGATTTTAATTTATTAGGTCTTCTCCTATTTCATTTTTCAAAATAATAAGAACATTTTGCTAAATAATATTCATCTTCTATAGATTGTTTATTAAAATGATTCCAAACACTAGATTCTTTATGATCTCTTTTAGTTTTTTTAGAAATATTTTCAAATATATTTTCAAATATAATATCAGACATTGAATATTAGTTTTAATAATAAAATTAAATTTATAATAGTTTATTTTGATTATATTGAAATAAAAAGAAATTTTAAAGATTTTATTAATTCATAATAAGAATTAATTTAGAAATATTTTTTTAGAAAGACAAAAAACAGGTTTATTTATACAAAATTGATATCTATTCTATGTATTAAAATCTAAACCTGTTTATAAAATTTTTATATTAAAAAAAGACTTATATCTAAACTAAAAGGCTTATTATATTATGGCTTATAATAAATAATAAGGTTATACTAAGTAATAAAATATTTAATAATAAAAGTCTCAAATAAATAAATAAATAAAACTTGATGCTTTTTTGTAAATAATTCTATTCTAAATAAACAATAATTTAAGTTTATTTATATATTATTATTATTTTATACATATCTTAAATATCACCTAATTTACATTATTACAATAATATATATATATATATTTATAAATATTATTAAAAGAAAACTTGTCATCTGAATTTCAATTATATTTTGTATATAGTTAACTTTTGTATAATATATAGAAAGTAATTGTATATTAATATAATTAAAAATCTAATGACAGATTTTTTAATAGTATTTATATATTATAAATTAAATTTTATTAAAACTTAATATGTAATAATTTAATTTTTTTTATTTATTTATTAAATATTATTATAAAATTTAATCTATAAACTCAAAGACATAAAATCT